ATTTTTCCTTACAAAAGCTTCTAGGGAAAGCCCTGGCACAGTCTGACTTGCAGGGAAGGCCCAGGTCCACAGGGACACAGAAGCTGGGATGTGAGGGCCATGCCAGCCCCCCGCTTGCTGACTTCTGGAATCCTGTGCTCCCCAAAGACTGCACTGCCCAGCCCTGCTTCTCTGTAGGAAGCTGACTTTCTGGAAGGTGTTGAATTCTCTTTCTTTAGGGGCTCTGCTTTCTTTGGACCCTGTGGATCCCTGCTCTGGGTTAAGATAATATTTTGAACAATGTGTGAAAACCATTTGGCTGACTGTGGTCCTCCAGAGCCACCACTGCCTTATGTCCAACTCTGCTGCTGGCAGAGCCCTTTGCCCCGTCTCCAGGGATTCCAGGGTTTTGGACGCCAGTGTGGAGAAAATCTGGCCTTGGAAAATCGGACAGTGACCTCCCTGGGTGTTGGCAGATGTTTCCTGTACTCTGACCTCATCAACTGCGAAGACAGATGCGTCCGTATGTCTCCCTATAAGAGGAGGCCAGTGCCCCCCATGGCCTTGGAGTCCCGAGGGTCACCATAGTCCTGGCCACCTCCAGCCGCCCTCCGTTGTGGGGAATGGAAAGGAAGCGGCACAGGCCGCCCTGCATGCCTGAGCTCCTGGGGCAACAAACCAGGCCAGCTCCAGCTGTGACTGGAATGAAGGACTTGAGTCCCAGGTTGGCAGGGGCCTGTGCAGATCCGGGATCTGGGTGAAGCCTGGAGGGCAGGAGGCCGGGGCAGGGCCCCTGAGCCCTGCCGTCAGTGACTGAAGCACCACGTCAGTGACTGAAAAGTCACATTTCCAAATGACGAATCCTGCCTTCTCAGAATTCTCACCTGTCCCCCTGAAGCCAGCCTGTCCAGCCGGGCCTACTACTTGGGTAAGGACACAGAGCTCTGAGAGAAAGTCCCTGTCATGGACTGAACTGTGTTCCACACAGATTCATATGTTGAAGTCCCGTCCCACAGTACCTCAGAACGTCACCGTATTTGGAGATAGGATCTTTAAAGAAGTAATTGAAATAAAATGAAGTAATGGGGGTACCCTAATCCAGTTTGGCCGGTATCCTTACGATAAAAAGAGATGAGGATGCAGACACACACAGAGGGATGATCGCGTGAGGCCGCAGGAAAAAGATGCCCATCCACAAGACAAAGACAGAGGCCTCTGGAGAAACCAGCCCTTCTGACACCTTGATCTCCGATTCAAGCCTCCAGAAATGTGACAAAACACATTTCTGTTGTTTAAGCCCCTCAGCCTGTGGTATTTTGTAATGGCGGCGCGAGCAGACCAACATCGTCCCCATAAGGCTCTGAACAGCATGAGGTGAAAGCATTGTCCAGAAACAAGAATGTAGGGCCCTTGGGTAGGGCTGGAAGGAGCTGGACACATCCTCTGGAGGAGAGGTGACAGCAGATGACACCATGTGAGGAGTGAAAACAGAACTGGAAAGAGTGGGGGGCTTGGCTTTCCCCAGCCCCCACGGGGCAGGAGTTTGGACATGGACAACACTCCAAATGACCAACAGGGACCCTGGGCAGTGGGGACAACAGGGCCCCTCAGAGAGAGGTGACCAGTGCATGCAAGGACAAGACGACCGCCTGGGCTGGGAGGTGAGGAGCAGCTTGTGGAGGGAGGGCTGGATGGAGAACACCTTCATGAAGCCTGGAGACCAACGAGGGGAGGAGGCTGAGGAGACACAGGCCTCTGGACCTTTGCTCTGATCGATGCCTCCTCACATCCCTGCCCTCACCACGGAGGGCACCCAGCAACCTCCGACAGCCCCATCACCCTCCTGAGGCCTTTCTCTGGCAAAGCCCACTCTGACAGATGTGGGGGAGCAGGGGGTTTAATAGACTCCGAGAGCAGCCTTCGGCCAACGACTGACAAGAGCAGGAGTATAAATACCTCAGCTCACTCCCCTTGGCGCCATGACTGAGTCCCAGTCAGACAAGCCCCTCTTAAGGCTCCTTCCCCTCCATGACTTACTTCTCTCTCCCCTAACCACGTTTCAGTCGCTGTCCAAATAAACTGCTGTACTTGAACTCTAGGCTCAGGGCCGGCTTCTGGAGTTGGCCCCTCTGGCCCCAGTTGTGTGCGTGGGGAGACTGGAGCCTCAGGTACCTCACAACACAGAGGTTTCAGAACTGTCCAAGCTCCACACAAGACCCGGCTTCCAAAGACCAGGCTCTGCGTGTTGAATACATTCCCTTTCTTCATCTGAGAGTCCCAGCTTTGGAAGGGAAAGTAATGGTTTTCCTGAGGGGGACATCCAAAGATGGTTCCAGTCCTGGAGCCAAGGTGTGAGCTCCGGAAGACTAATTCCCACCCCTATTTGTGGGCAAGAGCCTCGGCTGTTTCTCGCTGTCAGCGCTCCTCTAGCTTACATCTGGAAAACTGGCAGAGGGGAGTCTGGGGCTGATGTGGGGCTCATGGCGGATCCCAAGGCCACGCCCCATCTCCCCACAGCCTGCTGGGACATGCTCTCTGCCTCCAGTCCCTGTGGTGTTTCTCCACCGTAGTGAAGGTCACTGCCCAGTAGCCATCATTGCCAATATTGCTATATTTAATTTTCTTTGATTTACCAATTCTAGCCCATTTGGAGAAAATAAAAAGCCACCGTGCTCCCTCTGGTTTCTAAATGCTTCTCTCTTTTCCGTGTGTCTCCTGGAAGCCTGTGTATGTCTTCCCCTTTCAGGGCTCCCTTGGATAATCCCTTGGATAATACCAAATCCCAAGTGAGATACGGTGAATTTACCATGCAGATTGCAGAGGACCTCTCAAATGAAGTCCCTTCAGAAGCCGGCTGAGCTTGGGAAGATTGGGGCTCCTGATGGAGCAAAGACAGGCTCCACGTCTAAGAGCCATCTTGTGGTGGAAACCGCTCAAGGCTTCAGAGCCATACAGGCCTGGACTCTAGTTCTGTCTGACTCAGCTGCTGCCCTCCCACAGGCCTCCAGCCCTGGGGCTCACCTGCTCATTTGGGAAATGGACACAAGGGCCGCCCGGCTCCCCGCACTTGACGAGAGGCCAGAATGGATACATGAAAAGCTTCCAGTCTGTATGGTCACAAGAACCTCGTGCTGATCATCACTGTGGCCTTTATTACACTATTACATTTCCAGATACAAATACAAATTGTATTAATTTCCCCTGGGCGGGGGGAGTCCCAGCTCCCCTCTGTCAGCCAGGCAACGCAAGCGATAAGAAATGAGACTTAAAATGAAGACTTTTAATTCCGTAAGTTTTCATTCTCTGTGCTTAGAGGCCTCATGTCTTCCAGCGCAGCCCCACATTGAAGAGCAACTGTTCCTGCAGGTAATTCGGGGGCTATCAGGGCTTGCTGGATATCAGGGCTCCTGACAAGCTCCTGCCTCCATGGAAGGAGGCCGGGGACCCATGGGGTGGGGGCTTTCAGAGCGGCCACTGCCTTCTCCACTGGCAGTGGTAGTGGCAGGGAGTGTCCCTCCTGCCCCCCCACCACGGCAGTGCGGAGGTGTGGGCCCTCACGCCTGTCCTCCCTTCTAGATTGTTCTATGGTGATGACGCTGCTCCACACCCTCAAAGCAGACGCCTCTTCATCTCCCGACTGCTCTAGTGACTCCAGAGCACACACTCTCCCCTTACTCCCTGCGTGGCAAGTCTCCCCAAGAACTAATTCTGTAATTGATACTTCCTACCCTGTTTTCCAGCTCCCGCATGAGCGAGGCTGACCTACAGATCCCATCCAAACAGTGAGCAGTTGCTTCCTGACCAAGCTGCTTTCAAGAACAACAGGGATGTTTGTATCACGATTCGGTTTAATTGAAACACAAGACATATAAAGGCTGCTCACAACTCCGAGTCTGTCCGTGCACAGCGACCTTTCCTCGCTGTTGTAAATCAAAAGGGAGCAGGAAGAAGCTGTCTGAGTCTGCCCAGCGACACCCCAGTAACTGCCATGCCCGCCGGGTCCCAGTCGACACTGACCGGGCAGGTAGACCATGCGGCCAGAGTGAGCAGTCCTTGGACCTGCCATCCACCCTCAGCTCGACACCAGCAACTTGTCCTCTACTGTCTCCTCGTCAACACGAAGCAAAGCGAGATGGGGGCCATGCTGTCTGGGCTGCACTGCAAAAGATCTGGCCCCTCCATCCATCTGCACCCCCTTAACAAGCACCCCTGAGCCGGCCATTGGCATGGAGGGCTGGGCTGTGAGACGATGAGGTATCCCACTCCATGCCAAATCTTTGCTGCTTCAGGTTGGATTCTAGAAGAAAAGTGTCACTTCTTTAAACATTTCAGTGACTCGAGCCCCAGCCCCACCCCATCCAGATGTTCGCCCAACTGTCTGCATTGGCAAATCGAATCCTGAGTATTCACTCTTTCCATGCTGACTTCTCCCATCCTGGGAACCTGGGGTCTCCCCTGAGCTTGCCAGCCGAGTGGTGGACAGGCGTCAGAGGCTGGCTGCTGCCTGCTTCAGCTCCAGGCTCTGCCGGCCTCTCACCGTGGGACCCCAGGCAAGTGGCTTAACCTCTCTGAACCTCGGCTCCTCCTCAGTAGTCAAAGGGGGAGATGAACATGAGACGCTCCCTCACTGGGTTGGCAACATACTTAATCACTTAAATCAGTGCCCGACGGTAGTAAGGGCTCTGTACGTGTTGGTTCTTTTGCTGGTCGCCCTCACTTGCAACTGATGTCCAGATGTCATAGAGAAACTGAGGTTCTAAATCCACTATCTCCAATCCAGCAGCTTCGGCACCATCCCACACCCACCGGAGTGTCACCTGAAGGTGAGCTTGGACGTCTGAGAACTGACCAGTAGCTGTTCTTAACCAATGGGGTGGATGGAGTGTGCAGGAGGTTTAAAATTCATACATGCACGACAGGCGACCATTGTACCAAACGAGGGCCGCCTTCCTGCTCCATCCTGACCACCTCCTCCCTGGCCAGCCCCGGCCCACAGCCCGGCGCGGGTGAACGCTACTCACGGAGGTGGTGTGCATAGCGGAGGTGGAAGACGTCACAGCCGTGCACGTGATGGTAGAGGGTCTTCTCGATCAGGTCCTGCGGCTCATACCCAGTCAGCTCGGTCACCCTGGGGGGTGGGGGGGACAGTGACTCTGTGGGTTACTCTGCTCTGCAGATTGTCTTTCATTTAAACTAATATTGATTTTGCCAACTAATCAAGTGCTAAAAGGCTCAGGGCGGGGGGTGATGTTGGTTTTGGAAACCGAGAATGATCTTTTTTACAAGAGAGTCTTTGAACTCTAGCCCGGTGCAGGATGTAGCACTTTCATGAGCGGGAATGTTCTTCTGAAACTACCGGCTAGAAGAACATTTGGGATGGCTTAACGTGTTTTCCTCTTTCAGGGTGAAACTTCTCTGGGGGCGCTTACCAGTGAACTTTGATGTTGATAGTGGGAGAAAGACCCACTCTCCAGGGGCTTTGGGGTGACAGTCCAATGGGAACCTTTGTTTTTTTTTTATTGTGGTAAAATATGCATAACAGAAACTTTGCCATTTTAACCTTTTTAAGTGTACATTTAGTGTCACTAACTATATCCACAACGTTGTGTGACCAGCACCCTTTCCATCTCCAGAACTCTCCATTGCTCCCCACCCACCCACCCAGGTAACCTTCACTCTCCCTCTGTCTCTATGAATCTGTCTATTCCAGATAGCTCATAGGAGAGGGACGCCTGGGTGGCTCAGTCGGTGAAGTGTCTGCCTTTGGCTTGGGTCATGATCCCGGGGTCCTGGGATCGAGCCCCGCATCGGGCTCCCTGCTTAGTGGGGAGTCTGCTTCTCCCTCTGCCTGCCACTCCCCCTGCTGTGCTCTCTCTCTGACAAATAAATTAATTAATTTAAAAAAATAGATATTTCAGAGGAGTGAAATGATTTGGCACATGTCCTTTTGTGTCTGGCTTCTTTCACTTGGCATCATGTTTTCAAGGTTCGCCGAAGTTGTAGCATGTGATAGGATATCGTTCGTTTTCATGGCTGGGTAATGTTCTGTTGTGTGTAGATATCACGTGTGGTTTGTCCATTCACCCACTGATGGCCACTTGGGTGGTTTCCACATTCCGGCTACTGTGTGTGTGAGCCTGGACGTCGCACACCGGACACGGTGGTCTCAGGATGCTCTGGTTGGGCAGTAGCATCTACAGACTAGCTGGAGACATGGACTCCTCCTATCAGTGGGGGATGGTTGCGCAGCCCCCAGAAAATAGTAGAACAGCCCCCCCCCCAAATATTGTGACTGCAAGGTAAACCTGCAGTCCACTGGCAAAAGGGCAGCCTGCTCCTGGGGTTTTCCTGCCACTACCACCTCTCTGTTCTCATCAAGCCCCAGGAATATGAATTTCCCATGTCAGCTCTTTGAAGAAAAGCGGCTCTCAACGTCCAAGACCACATCATCACTGGCGTTCGGATCGCTCCATCCAGGGGTGAAAATGGCAGGCGGCAGCGGTGTTGTTTCCCAGGCCCTGGGCAACTGAGCTGGGAGCTGTGCCCTCAGAGGAGGTGGCCTGAACGTCTTGGTGACAGATATTCAAGAACAGATGAAAGAGGAGGACAAGAGGGATTCTAAGGGAAGGGAGGCAGTCCTTGGGGGGGAAGTGGGGCCTGAGGACGGGCCGGGACTGGGGGTCCTGCTGGCTTGTATCTGAAATGTTGGCTGGAAATGAAACAGGGAAACCTGACCTCATTCCGTAACCTGCTCCCCTTTCTGTTGAGTTCTGCATGGGCTTTGGGTTGTAAATCTCCAGAAGCCTCATATTTCCCTGGAATCGGTCACTATTTGGTGTACACATTTCCATGGTGTTCCTTCAGGGTGGGAAGGAGACGGGGCTGGAGGTAGGTGGGAAAGGTAACGTGCCACAGCCTTTCGGGGCCCGGGCGACTTGTCTAAGGGCCACCTAGAACTTCAGGCCCCACTGGAGTTGAACTGTGTGTCAGGAAAACTGAGACCTGGCTTCCCCCCCAAATAGAAAACCCGGCATCTCTACTGTGTGAGGATGAAAGAGGCTTCCCAGACCCTTTGGAAGTAAAGTTACAGAACAACGGCCCTGAACGTGTAAATGAATCAGAAACACATGTATTAAGTTTCTCATCAAAGTACACGCTGGTTTTAAAAATTAAAGGGAAAGAGAAGGGTCTGGCAGCACGCCCTCCTGGTTTTTTCCAAACCTCCAGTGTCTGAAGACCTGTCAGAGGGATTTGCCAAACCCCAAACATGGCTGGGTTCACCCATCCTTAGCAAAAGCACCAGCTACAGTTTCAAAGTGAAATACCACAAAATCCCTATGAACCAAATTTCAGGTCATGCTGAGTTCAGTTGTGTCTGGGATTATACTGGTGGGGGGCGAAGTGGCCACCCCCCAGTCCACCACCCAGGCCTCTGTGACTCTAGGGCTGCTGGGCTTAAAGCCAACCCCACACTGTGGCTTCTGGGGTTTGGATGCAGGAGCTGACATCTCTCACCCCGCCGGGCCATCCTGCTGACCTCTGAGTCCTGGGCCGGCCCCTCTGTCCCCCAACCCAGAGGCCTATCAAAGACCGAGCTGCAACAGACCGGAGACCAGAGTGAGTGTGAAGAATTCTCCAGCTCGTCTCCGACCCTCTTAAGTATCTCCTAGATGACTGGAGTTCAGAAGCTTTGCTAGAAGCTTCCTGGTACTTAGCTGGGAGAACAGCAGTGGACGTCTGCAGACACAGGGAGTCTTCTTCAAGATCACTGTCTTTCTTTCCTACTCATGTCAGGGGTCTGGCCCTCACCCTGAAGTAGAGGGACTCTGGCATTCGAGAAAGTCCATGCCTGAGGCTCCCACCATGAGCTGGTCTCTCAGCTAACCTCCAGTACCCTCTTCTGCAAAACCCTCTTTCTGTCCTTCACGTTTCAAAGCTGTGTGCATCGAACAATTTGAGAAGACCTGAAATCTCTTCTCCCAGGGAGACCTCCCTCTTTCCTCTTCTAGAGAATTCACTGAGCCCCAGAGGCTTTTCCTAGAATCCTCAAAGGAAAACTAGGAGACAGACATAACAAGGGAGACCCTCCCAAATGTGTGAAATAATGAACTTGGACAGCTGAAATTCCCTTCAGTTCACTTTTACAAGTGGCTCCTGAATCCAGAAAGAACCCCTTCCCATGGCCTGCTGTCACTTCCGCCACACCCCCAGGCAGCCCAACCACCCAGGGCCCCTCTCTGGGCAGGGGTCTGTCTTCGCTGCAGGAAAACAGCATTTGTCAGCGTCTGGCCGCCCAAAGGTGCCGGCCTCCTTCCCCCAAAGAGTTATATGTACACTTTCTGGGAGCACAAAGCCAAGTCTGTCATGTCAACCTTTGTCATTTCTCTACCTATGAATGGTTCTGAGGTCCTGACGTGTGCTAACGATGACCTAGGCTAATTCGTGTCTTCACCTCCCGCCCCTAACCAGATATGTGTGATTTTCTCTCATAGCTGGTTAAAGTGACCAGTTTTATGTCATGTACATTTTACCACTATAAAAAAGGTGGGGGGAAAAATCTATAAATCTTAGCAAAAATATATATATATTTATATTTACATATGGATGTATCTATCTCCTTTCTCCCAGAAAGCTTAGCCACACACACCCAAAAGCAGAAGCGGGATCTCTGAACATTTAGTCCCCCCTGTACAGCTGAGGACTCTAGGGGGCTACCAGGCAAAGTGACTCACCTTGCAGTCCCATCAGGCTTTTTACTTTTACAAATGCTTCCTGTCTATGATCAAATTTCCGCTCTCCTAATAGCCTGTGGGTAGCCGAGTGGGCAGGGTGGGGCTGACTTGTTTTACAGATGAGAAAATGGAAGCCCAAAGAAGCCCGGCAGGCCTGAGGCCTCAAGGCTGGCGAAGCCTCACCAGCCGGCCCCTGCGGCCGCTCCAGCACACCCCTCCCCGGCGTGGCGGGCTTCGGCAGGCCTAGCGAACAACACGTCAGGGCTCCCGCCTCGTTCACCCTCCCTTGTCTCTCTGAGACGAGATCCTCAGACCCAAGCAGTAGGAGGGCAAAGGATAGTTGAGAGAGATGGTTCTGGGGCCACTGCATCTTCGCCCTCCCCGCCAGCCAGGGGGTGCCCTCCCAGCCCAGGCCCAGACGGGTTCAGAAGCTTTGCTAGGGGCAAAGTCAAAACCACTGAGCTCGGGGCCACAGCCTTCCCCAGGGAAGGCCACCTGCCTCTCGCAGCCTCAGCTCCGGTGGCTGCCACAGCCCGAACGGCTTCCCACCAGCCTGCGTGGGCAGCCGCCCCACCTCACGGTCCACACTCACAGGCTTTCTTTTTGATTTTAAGGTCCTACCTACTTGACAGAGATACAAGACAGAATCCCGACATCGTGGGCCTTCAAAAACGGCTAACTTGTGTCCACAACACATATTCCCAGTTCCCACTTCGGTGAAATGATGAAGGGGTAAGTAAATAATATAAAACAACCTGGAGAAGCTGGCTACCCCTGAGTCCTAAGGCTGATAGCAATTCTTCTAGTTCGTGACCTGGTTCCACCAAATCGCTTTCTAACTCACATTCTTGAGAGAGAGAGAGAGAGAGCATGCAAGCAGGGGGAGCAGCAGAGGGAGAGGGAGAAGCAGACTCCCCGCTGAGCAGGGAGCCCGACGCGGGGCTCCATCCCAGGACCCTGAGACCATGACCTGAGCTGAATGGAAGGCAGACAATTAACTGACTGAGCCACCCAGGGGCCCCCTAACTCGCATTCCTAGTATGACTTATTCCTCCCCTTATTCACAGTGTAGCTTTCGGGGCAGTTTCCACTGTCAACATCTTCGGGAACTCTGCAGGAGCATCAGGTGCCAAACTCACCTGGAATCCAGGAAGATCAGCTTCAGGTCGAGGCTGGCCCTGAACATGAACATGTTACTATGCAGCTTGATCTCTGTGATGGCACTGGGTGGCAGCGACTGGCCCACGGCCACCAGCCCCACGATCTGGTAGCACGAGTCATACAGGGACATGTCCAGCATATACTGCCTGATCTTCAAGTAGCCGCTGCAGTGGATGACCTGGGGAAAGCAGAGGGCAGGGTCAGCCGCCGGCAGCCCAGGAGGTCAGACTGGCACCCACTCCTCCTTGCTCGGGGCCTGCCCGCCTCTCGAGCATGCGGGACGATGCCCAGCCCAGCCTCTACTGAGCTGTTGGGCCAACATACTTCTTTCTCAGGAAACAATATCATAATAAAATGTAAGGGTTGTCTTATCCAATCGACTCTGCTCAAGTAACTCCACAAGGTAAGACTCTAATACACAATGGATTTATCCATGATTAACTCGTCACCAAGTCACTATTAGATGGTACAACAAAAGCACCATGGGAAGCTAACTCTTGGTTCCATGATGCTCACTTGGGTACCTGTAATGCTCATGGCCTCCCAATGGGACTGGATTTGACATCTGTTAACTTGACATTTATATCACTTGACAAGCTATACCATTCCAGTAAATTAAGAATTCTTTCAGTAGAATCAAGAGTCTTCCTTTTAATGTATTTTTGTTTTGTTTATTTATAACTCAATTTATCCCCTTGTAATAAGCAATAAGCAGGAGTGGCTATATAGAAACCTGATTGTTATAGCCAAAAACCATGCAGGAGAGAACGTATAGTGTTTCAAATGTCAGACAGAAACATTTATGCAAACTTCAGCCTCAATATTGGCAGGATTTATGTAAGTTAGAGTCAGTAAAATCTCGAAAGGATCCCAATCATCACGACAGCGGTGATGAACAGCTAAAATCTTAAATTCTCTTTTCAAAAACGTTCCTCCAGGACTCCTGAATTCATTCAGTCTTTAGAGCTGCAATAAATCTTAAAATCCGCCCAGTCTATTGTCCCATCTTACTGATGAGGAGATGGAGGACAAGGTAGGTGATCTGTATTGCTTAAGATTAGACAGTTAATAAGCGGCAGAAATAACTCAAGACCCAAGTCTGTTGGGTACAGGACAGTGCTGGGGGTTCTCCACCCCTGGTCGAAATAGGCTTCGAGTCTGGGTCAGCAAATAAGAAATGTATCCCCAAACTATAAAACAGAGTGAGGTAAAGTCAAAGGAAAGAGCTCAGTGTGGGGTTCAAAGGAGGGGGCTGAGGAAAGGCAGCCCCTGGGGTGGGCAGGAGGTAGGGAGCGGCATTCCCAGAAAGAGAGGACAAAGGAGGGAGAAACAGTAACTTCAGACTCCAGAGAGGACACCGAAGCTTGGAAGGGGTTGCTCAGCGCAGACTTCCCCCGACCTGCCCTTCCATCTGGGAGTGGCTGATTCTGGTGCTGAGGCACCGCGCCGCCCGTGGGCTCTGCGGGGGACCTACTCCTGGATTCTGGAGCTAGCCAGAGCAGGGGGCCAGGTCTGGCAGAGAAATGCTGCCGGGAGGAACTCTGCCCCTTAGCCTGCGAGCCTCCTGCTGGTCTTCTCCCTTCTCTGCTGTGTCCCTGATGGTCATAAAATGGGGCCAATAATACTCCCCTCAGAGGGCTGCCATGACTATTAATTAACTAGATGAGATGCCGCTGCTGAAAGCTCATGGCCCCTCAGAACGGGTTCTATCGTTAGTCAAGCACATCATAGTCATCATCCCTGGATTTGGCCGAACATTCGAGGGTAGGGGCACCGTTTCTGTGCTCTGAATACTCGCTGCCGACCCTGCAATAGGGATTCTCAGTAAGCTCGAGGGGCAGCTCCTCCAATGCCACCGACCTGAGCAAAGTAGAACCTACAGGAAAGGAAAATTCTACCCTGGGCCACGTTTATTCCTGGTCTCCTCTGACGACATCCAGCCCTCCTGGGATATCCTTGTAAGACACCAGCTCTCATACCTGCTGCAGGAGCAGAGGCAGGCGGCCTCCCCGGAAAGTTCTGCCTTAGGCAGGGGGAAATGTCTGGGTCCCTGTGCTTGCTGTCTGCAGATGTTTGCAGTAGGAAGCAAAATAGAAAGCAGTGAAGACCCAGCGCCAACGCTTTCTTCCCTCCCCCGACACGAGGATCCTCATACCTTGTATCCACTGCATGTCAGGCCCGCGTTTCTTTTCGCCAAGACACATTTCATCCGCAGAAAGAATGACCTCTCTATCTCATACTCTGAAAGCAGGAGTGAGGTTAGATTGGCCAACTGTCCCCCCAACTTCTTCCCCCGATTTTGTCCCAACAACATCAGTCAACCCTCAGGCCCAGACCAGGCAGCCAGAGACCCTTTCCCAGAATGCCCAGCCCCTGACCCAGAGAGTTTCTGCCTGTGGCCACGACCTGGGTGGGCTGGGGAGACTGGGCCCGTCCTGGCGTGGCTTCCACATGCCCCAGAGGGAAGGCAGCCAGAAACGTGGCCGTAGCAAGAACTCAGGAGACACCAACCTGGGGCCAGGTGAGGACTCTAAGTGCAGTGGGCCCAGCCCCGCTCAACCGGCCCGTGGTCCCCTCCAGGCAGGCACAGAGAGGCCTGGCGCCAAAGGAATCACCTTGGCCAGCCCTGGGGCGGATGCCTGAGTTGGCCAGGAGGGCCCAGAGGCATCTGACTTCCCTCAGGGTAGAGGATTCTGAGTCAGGACTCCCAAGCACAGCCCCCTCCACAGCACAGGGAGGCAGCCACGGGGCACCCATCCTGCCCGAGACTGCCATGGAATGGAGAAGAGAACCCAACAGACCCACTCGCTCGGCCAGATCGAAGCTTTTGCCCTCATCTAGAGCCCCGGTCCGACCACCACTCCTTTCTCGACGGCTCTGACCCTCCCCATTCAGTCTTTCCCTGGCTGGCCTGAAGGCCTCACCCACCAATCTCTGACCTCACTATTGCAAATGCAAGCGAGTCCCCTAAGGACACACCCCATGCTTCAGGGAACAGATACCAGTTCTCTGGAATGATGTGTCCATGCCCCTGGGTGAGGATGGCGTCACTCCACTCCTAATAAACAGCTACTTGGTGGCAGTTAATAAATTAATTTTTTTTAATATTTTTTTTAAGATTTTATTTATTTATTTGACAGAGAGAGAGATAGCGAGAGCAGGAACACAAGCAGGGGGAGTGGGAGAGGGAGAAGCAGGCTTCCTGCCGAGCAGGGAGCCCGACGCGGGGCTCGATCCCAGGACCCTGGGATCATGACCTGAGCAGAAGACAGACGCTTAACGACTGAGCCACCCAGGCGCCCCAATAAATTAATTTTTAAAGAAAGGTTACCATTAGGAGTGGAGGCAATGCCCCCCGCCCCTCCCCAGGGGGAGCAAGGGAATCGCCTGTGAGGCTCCTCACTTCCCCCCACTGTTGGAGGGGCGGCCACATATATCCATAATTCCTCTGCAGCAGGCCGGGGTCTGCGAGGCATAAGGCTTCCCGGTAACACGCCTGCCTGTCTGCACCATTTCCAGCTACGCACTGAGGTGTGGACGCTCAGCTCTAAACAACTTCACCTGGTAATGAACCAACCAGTTTGGAGAAAGCCAACAGCACAACAACCATGAAGCAGCAGGGTGAGCTCAGCAGCAGAAAACCAGCTCTGTGGATGAGAAGCCGGGGAGCAGTCCCAGCGCCTGTGCACCTTACAGCTTGCACACTCAGGTGGCAACCCCACCTGTCCTGGAGCTTCGTGTTTCTCTTGTGTGGTTGCTACACCTCAGACATGAACCCCACGGGGACTGGGATTGGAAGGGTCTCTTGATATTCCCAAGACTTGTTTGCTGTCATCTGATAAACACTTAACTTAAAGCTATGACATGGAAAGGTAACATGAAACCAGAGCTCGTGGGAGAAAGTCCATTCCTGTGTAACCAACACACTGTGTGGAACTTTCTAGAACAATTACACAATGGTTTTAGGAGTTCTCTAAGACTCCTGCAGCCTTTTCCAGCTTTAAACAACCCCGCAGTGGGGTCGCCTGGGTGGCTCAATCGGTGGGTGTCTGCTTTTGGCTCGGGTCATGATCCCAGGATCCTGGGATCAAGCCCCACATCGGGCTCCCTGCTCTGTGGGAGGCCTGCTTCTTCCTCTCCTACTTCCACTGCTTGTGTTCCCTCTCTCGCTGTGTCTCTCTCTGTCAAATAAATAAACAAAATCTTAAAAAAAAAAGAAAATTAAAAAAAATAAATAAACAACCCTGCAGTGAAAGAACGAGACTCAGGTGCACTATTCTCCGCCCAGCTCTCATTTTGCTAGAAATTACTTCTTCTGAGCTTATCTGTGTGCACTGATGTGGCCAGACCATCTGCAAGGACTTAAGAGTTACAGACCATAGTGGGGCGCATGAGTGGCTCAGGTGGTTAAATGTCTGCCTTCAGCTCAGGTCATGATCCCAGGGTCCTGGGATCAAGCCCCAGGATTGAGCCCCACATCAGGCTCCCCGCTCAGCAGGGCATCTGCTTCTCCTCATCCCTCTGCACCCCACCCCCCACCGGCTTGTGCTCGAGTGCTCTCTCTCTCTCTCTCAAATTAAATAAAATCTTAAAAAAAAAAAAAAAGAGTTACAGACCATAGCCATCTCATCTCAGAAACCAGCACAGCAGTCTCTCTCCCTGGTTAAGGAAAAGTGAGACGCACAGTGACTACTATGTCCGGGGCTAAGAACATGGGGGCCACAGGCTATATCTGCAGGTGGTTTTAAAATGGAGTGTGCTCTTCTGCAGTCTCTCCTTCTAGCCTTAGAAAGGCCCCTCCCAGGAGGAAGCAGTAAAACTAGAACTTGAGTTTTTCTCCGGCTGGTTATCCCATTCTACCATGCTTGATGTCTCTTCTTTTGCATTTCTGTTCTATGGGGAATTTTGGCCAAGTTGGGATACCATAGTCCACAGCAGACAAGAGACCCACTGAGCAGCATGCTAGCTCAGTGGACTGTCAGAGAGAGGGTGTTACAAGGCCAGCGCCCCAGAATAAGTTTGTCGTCCTAGCATGCACTGCAATTGTAACTTAGGGAGTCATCTGCGTAATGATGTGCCCCACATCCTCCCCCGAGCAATCACACCACATTATGTCCTCACATGCGCTTATGGCGGTAGGACCCCAATCCATAGGTGTTCAGTAATGGGACCGTGGTGGAGGAGGTGGAGGATCGTGTCCCCACATGGAGACAGGCCAGTGAAGTGGACCTGCCTCTGTCTAGACCAGGGTTTCTTAACTGATTCATGCCATGGCACAAAACCCACAGATTCCTACCTGGAATAACGTTTTTAAGTGCAGAAGATAAAAATATAGATCACAAACTGAACCAACTGTATTGAAAACAGTTACCAAAATATTTTTGCTCATATCTTTTGCTAATAAAACAAGTGGTGATTTGGTTATAAATGTGCTGCTTTATTCACACATTAAATAACAAGAGCCAGCAGCCGGCCTCGTAACTCCTGAAATTTCGAAGTAGTGATGAGCGTGCGTGATAAGTTTATACACTTGTGAGAACTGTAAAGTGAAATGAAAATGTGTGTGACTCTCATTGTTGGCGAAGCCACTGGTAAAAGGGGGAGTAAGATGGCGTACCCCCCCATAATCTGTAAGCCAAGGAAATGCTACATTCCAACCAGACAGAAGAAAGATGGAATTCTCCACGTGCAGTTTCACAGACCCCTTGAGTTCTATCGGGGACCCTCTGGTTAAGAAGCCCAGGTCTAGACCTGTGTTCCTGGAGTTCTAAACCAAGAGCACATCTTGACCGCTTTCCTTTACCTCCTACCAGCGCCCATCATGGTCTCTGGCAAGAGAAATGGGATCAATAGTGTTGCTTCAAAGGACAGACGCATAAAAGCAAGTCCCCCACGCCACGTGTTTGCTGGAGAGGCCCAGCTGGGCCACTCCAGTCACGCACACTTCCCCTGGGCAGCATGGGAAGCAAAACCCTCGCGTCCCATCCAAGAGCTTCGTCTGGTTTTCATGCTGGTTTCTTCGTCTGGGGGAAATACCTTGGAGCAGGTGATGGTGAAGGGGCTGGTGGGCCGCAAGCACGGCCGTCATCTCGTCGTGGTCGGAAGGGTGGATGTACTCATAAATACTGTTGCCGGTGAGCTCCACCTGCCACAGAGGGAAGGGAAGGGTCAGAAATCCTCTGGGGTCTGCGCAGGTTGGGGAGGGGAAGGTGGACAATAGGTACGCACTGCGAGGGACAGAGCTTTGACCTCTGTTCACAGTGCGCACCTTCTCCACATGCAGAAACCCGCGTCTTTTATCAAGCAGCACCCTGAACCGTCTCCCATGTGGGGATGTGAGCTGAAAGCCACGACAGTCCCGAGCAGGAAGAACTAGGACAGGAAGGGTGAAAGATGAGCCATGGAGGTGGGCGCCCCCCCACGGCCCCGGGCGGTATCCTTTACACAGGAAGCAGCTTACAGCAGACCGGAGCCAAGGCCTGGCCCTCCACCCACACTCCCGTGCTGCCTGAGGGGCCTGGCCAGCCGGGACACCAGCTGCCAAGTGCAGACGATGGTCCCTGCGAGAGTCACGTCCTCTCCAAGGCTGAGCAAGGTGGCAGCCGTGGGGGCTCCACTGCACGTGAGGAGGGCTCGCACCCCGACAAAGGCCCTTCCTCGGGCACCGCCAAGCCTCCTCCCCGTTGCCAGAAACATGTCCCTGGCCTTCTGACTCTGGGATGACCGGTGACCCAATAGCTCCCGCCCACGGGTGCGGCGGGGCGGCTGCGTGACCTGCGGGGACGTTTGGGCGCACTCCAGACAGCCATGTGACACGGCGGTTATTTCCGGGGGTCGCGACCCCAGCACTTGGATGCCGCCTACTTCCAGGCACACCCTGCAGAGGACACGATGGCAGGCCTAGAGCCCACGTGCGTGTTGGACGGGACCGTTGCAGGGATGGGGGTCTCTAGGAACACACCAGCATTAGGACCTTTCCACAGAGATTCCTGGTGACTCGACACCGAACCTTGAGAACTTTCCTATTGTTCTCCCACAAGTAAGTGCCACGATAGGGGATGGTAGAGAGTCTCAAGACCTGGACACCCTGACCCATCACCCCAAGATGGGCAGTGCCGTAGAATGTTCCAGAGACTATGACCATCAGAAGGGCCTTCTGAGCAGTGGTGGGTGGACCCTGTTGTAGAGATGCAATGGTGCAGACAAGAACAGTGCACCCAGTATTGACCAGGAGCCCAGGCCAGTGATGGCTCTTCCATCTCAGCCCTCAGGAGCCCCAAAGCCCGGGGTGGGGGGCGGGGAAGCTGAGAGCGCATGAGAAACTGCCCTCGGGTGGCAGGGAACCGTGGGCAGGTCTGACTCAGTCTTTCTCAGCTCTGCCCCACGGGGAGACGGCAGGCTCAAAGAGCAAAGGCAGGCTTGCGAGGGCCTTGACCCCAACCACCCCCTTGTTATTTTTAAGTGTGTCATGCCTCGTGTTTTGTTGGGAGGCTCACTGGTCTCCCTCAGAGCAGAGCCAACACCATCTCCTGTCAAGGGGCCGCTCTGCCCGGGACACCTCACGCAGCAGGACAACCACAGGCAATTTCATGGACAAGTTCTTCTGGGAGCCACTGTTCCAAATTAGCATCAAGGCCATCAGCTCCTTCCTTGGGACTGAGCAGCCACGGAGAGGTGAAGGAATTTACCCCTTCCTCTGAGCCAGGTCTTCCAATTGGTTAAGATGTAGGAGTTACCATTTTATTCAGAACAAATTCTGTTTCTGGCCTGCTAAGTAATCTTGTCCCTAAAACGGCTTTTGCAGTTCTGTTTTCTGCATTATTCATGGAATGTTTCTTGCCAATATTATGCCTACAGAGGAACAGAGACAATCCTGTTACAGAGAGCCTCCCTCCCTCCCCACTTGACCCAAAAGGGGATTTGCCTATGGCCAAAGTTATTACGTGAGTTCATTAAAAACAATAAGGATTAAGAACTAAATAGTCTTCTTTCAAATCATTTCTGTTCATCCTTAAAAAATTTCGATAAACCAGCTAGTGTTAAGTCAGCCATTTGGGACAGGACCATCTCCTCTTCCCTGAAGTCAGTGATGGAGATTCCTGGTAAGCTCTGTCAGGTGGAGAGGGACAGAGGCAAATCAATAAGGGAGCTGGGCTTTTTTTTTTTTAATCGAGTCACATTTCAACAGCTTATTTTTTTTTAAATGTTTTATTTATTTATTCATGAGAGTCAGAGAGAGAGAGAGGCAGAGGCAGAGGGAGAAGCAGGCTCCCCCCCTAGCAGGGAGCCCGATGCGGGGCTCGATCCCAGGATCCCAGGATCATGACCTGAGCCGAAGGCAGACGCTTAACCATCTGAGCCACCCAGGTGCCCCTCAACAGCTTATTTTTAAAATGAAAACATAACGAGATAGATTCTGTGTGTGTGTGGGTCTATCATCTCTCTCTTACTCATGTTCTTAGGGGAAAAAACGAGCATTCTGGTTTGCACCAAGTTCTTAATCAGAAAAAAGTACCCCATGTCTTCTTAGAGAAAGTGTATTTATATACTTGCATCTGTCCTTACAGGGATTTGATTCGCGTTTTAATCCCAAAGCAGCTTCATCTGTCTTCAAAGACCCCATTCTCACCACATGTGTTTGGAGAATGAGAAAAGAGAAGGTCCATGAATTAAGAGGCTTGATTTTCTGAATCCTTGGTTCAATTATAAACTCCAAGGCTGTCCAGGAAGTAAAATGGTCTTCAAATAACAGAAATGTTTTTAAAGAACAAATTTTGGAATGATAAAACAGTGCTGACCTTGACTCAAAATTATGGTTGACGTGGTGTTTCCTGTATTTACATATCTATTCGTGCTTTTGAATGGTTGAAAGAAATGTGACTACCTCACAAAAAAAAAAAATTATGGTTGTCGCTATAAAACTCCCCAGGTCTCATACATCAACCGTATTAAAACAGACCTTCAATGTGATATTTTAGTATTTGTAAAACCCTGCTAACTACAAAATGAATTGCTTTCCTACTAAGAGCGTTTTTATGTTTTGCTGAATAGCTTTCCTTCCTGCCAAGAAAACTACATCTGATAAATACAGCACTAAATGGATATATTCTGGGTCGGAAGGGGAAAGTCACCCAGTACTCTGGAAATACACATTACTCTGCTTTGGGTGTTTTGCTGACTATGGTAAATTAAGCATTAAAAAAAAAAGATGGTTTGGATTTCAGAGTTCGAGTTATGTCAACAAACATAAAACGCTATCCTTTCTCTTTATTTCAAAAGTGCAAGGATTAGGTCTTATGGCCCCAAACAATGCCATGGCTATTTTTACGGCTGTGGTTCCGGCCACAATCTCAAATATTACATTTTCTTTTATATGTCTCATAAAAGGCTATTTCACACATATCTATAGTTATTTGAAAATTTATATTGGTTACCTAGATGCTATATGACGTATGTGGCTTTGGTGAAGAAATTTAAACCATGGGGATGCTTAAAAGAGTCTGCGGAAATACACAGCAGGTATACAGGGCTTTTTTTTTTTCCTTCTTCCAATATAAGTTAAGTTAATTACATTAACCAAAAAACCATGGAACTAACCACCTAATAAACCTGCATGGAAAAAGAGTGCTTCCCCAGCTCTATCTTTTGACCACATGAATCATTACCTATTATTTGTGTGTGCACACACCAAGTAGGATTTTCAAGCCTGTAGCCTGACTCTGTTTCCCCACACTCGGACTGTGAACTGAGGAGACAACTTGCAATTCGATGTCATCTCTGTCACTCTTTGGTCCCTAAGTCTGACAGCGAAGATCACCCTGTTTACTAATTTAAAAGCAAAAATAATAAACTCTGCCAGATTTCTTACTCCCAAACTTGTTTTAAAAGAGTTCAGTAAAAGGCTTTGGATTAGGACGGGCTTATAACAAAGAATGATTTTCGTACTCTCAAATACATCACTCAGATAGTTATTTAGATAGCGCAGATTAAAAAAAAAAACAACACTTTGCTGTGAATTATCACACACTTATGACAAACCTAGGAGCTTAGGTTCCCCAGGAGCTGCTAACATAGAGTTTAACCCTGAATTAATGTGAAAGATGTTGTTACTTAATGAGATAATGTCACTGAGAGTAATTGAAAGTTCTTGGACCACCGAAGGACACTATGTAAATAAAAGCTATCAGTACTATCGTTATTCATCAGAAAATCTGTTTAAAGGGTTACTCGGCCTACTGGATAGAATTTTCTTAACACTTTCATCTCTGAGGATTTAAAAAAAATCCTTAAGCCTATTTTAATAAAGTTTTCATGTTTGACATATTTGCCTGACTTCTTACTACTAATACAAATAATCTAAAAGGTACAAAAAATTTTTTTAAAAGAAGTTGGGTATTTGACATCCTTTTCAATACTTCATTTTACTACTTAAGTAAAGAAGACAGAAAAAAATACACATTGTGATTCTGCCTAGATTTCCTTCTGCAGAGTTAATCGTGAGCAGGAGACAGATCGGAGGGAAAGGTTTGTTGTTGCTTATTTAAACAGTTCAGCGTGGAACACTCCCCAGACCCTAGCGAGGGCTCACGTCTGCATTAAAGTATTTTCATAGCTGGAGACTGATGGTGAGACGGTCCCGCCAAGAGATCAGGGGGAAAAAAACATCAGTCCCTCTACACAGTTAGTTTGATTTATCTTTTTTTAAAACTGACACTTCTCCCAGCCGGCAACATATAGACAAAAGGCATCTCTACAACATTCTTGAAAAATGATGGTGTGTAGAACTCCCTCCCTTTTCAAAATTATGACTCCAAGTTTTATTTCTGCATTATGACCAAAAGGAAATATAGTTTTAATTGGGATTCATCATGAACAGGAGTTCATCATGAACAGGAGTTCATCATGAACAGGAGGCAGATTTGTCACCTATCCGATATTTTGTTCATTCTTAATTATTGTGCTCATAAACGGTCAATTTCATTTCCCACATAAAAAGAGAAAAATGACAGAGAGAGAGTTGTAGGATGCTAGACTGAGCAGCCTGACTGAGTCAACTGGAGTCCTGGGATGTGCGCAGGGCCTTATGATGTGCCAGAACATTCCACAGGACGAAGCAGCCCCAACATGTGCCCACCAAAGGACACTATTTGAAGCAACTTTTGTGCTACTTGATGTATAGATCTAATGAAACTGTGGGGACACTTGGATTCTGTGCAGCTCCCCATTATTTATAAATGACATAAAATGGGCACTTTGATATAGTTCTTACTACAATCATGAAAGAGAGGTAGAGCAGGCAGGATTGTCTTATTGAAGTGATGGTTTAGGGAGGCTAAGTACCTGACCTATCGGACAATGAAAACCATATAACTGGGCATTTCCCTTTTTGCTTTGACTGCTAGGGAGCTCAGATCTAAATTTAATATCTGAAAATAGTGACTGTACCTGTTTCATCTTTACCAGTCCTTTTTAAAGGAGGTGAAATGTTTTATCTTGTTTGTGACATTATTCTAAGACTAACCAAAGATTCAATAAATTACAATTGAAAAGTCAAGTAATCTGCTCAAAATCATTCAGCCACAGATAGAACGACGTCTAGACACCAGACTGGTTACAACTAAAAGACCTTAAATAATTCTAAATAGGGCAAGGTGGAAATTCAGAGCATAACAACCTTGGAAAATATATAAATAGTACATTTCATGTTCCCAACAGTATTTCCCGTTCTACGAGTATACTAATGCCATCAGTCATGGAAGTATAAGGGCCAAGCCTTAGCAAATCTTAGCTGGGAGACCTGGTTTTGTAAAGGAAGAGAAGAGGAAGAGAAAAGGAAACACTAAATAATTTTAATATGAGATTCTCTTTAAAGGACTTTACATAAGAAACAGAGGCACAGAAACCCCCTTGGGCATGGATGAGGATATACACACATTGGAAGAGAAGGCTGTAAATAAATGGCAAGTTTTAAAAAATGCAATGGTAGAAAAAGAAAAGGAATACACCAGATGCAGGTTTCCAAATTGGTAATTTTGTTTTTCCATTAAAAAAAACCCAGCCCCGTTAATTGGTAGGTTTTATTTTGGCTTAACTACAGAGGGGGCTGGTGCAATACAGATTATTCATCTGCCTCCTGGGAGCCCATTTCCTGTCCCTAATTAATTCTAGTGTGTCTTCAGTCGTGATGAAGAAAAGCACTCTGATAAGTCACAATATAAAGAAACATTTAATCCCTAGATGTATAAAAAAATGTGACTCTTAGAACCTCCACCAGGCTTGTTAAATCAGAAATGTGAAGGGCCACAATCAGACTCCTCCCCTCCCCACATTCCAAGGAGCCGAGACAGCAGCCGATTTCTCCCCCCC